TGCCAGGCACTCGCCTCACGGCCAGAAGCACTGGCGCCGCCTGGGCGCTCCCCCTCCTGCGGAACACAGCCCCTGCCTCCGCCGCCGCCGCCGGAGCTCCAGTACCCGGGAGTCGAGGATGGTACGGAAGCGGGCAGAGCGGCGACGGGACCGTAGCGCTGGGAGGCGTACATAGGGGTTGTCGGAGGCCTGTGAAGGCAGCTCCGTACTCCACCTTCCTCACCGGTAGCCAGCGGCGTTTCCCGGGGACAGCATCGCGCCAGCTACGGCCCGTTGCTCCTGGGCCTTTGCCCGAAGTTCCCCCCAAGCAGCGGCCGGGTTTCCGGCGGCCTCACTCCGCCCCCTCGCTATTTGGCTTCCGCCATCTTGTTGGAGGCGGGCGGGACACAATGCGCATGCGTGAGCGGCGGAGCTGGCGGGCGTCCTAGGCCCCAGCGGGGAGGCTGTAGCGCGCAGCCGTGCAGCCCTGGCCTCGCTCTGTGGCCTGCGGTTCTGCGCCGCTGTCCTAGGCACTGTTGCTGTTCCGGGGAAAGCGGTTTCACTGAGTGGCCAGACTTACTCGTCTCTCCTGAAATGTGCTGCAGCCAATTTAATAGACCTACAACTGTTCTGCAGATATCCACCCCTGGAGCATATGCCTGGCCCTGGGCTGGGTGCTGATGGTAGCTAGATGAATAAAACCATTACAGCGCTGAAGAAGCTCCTAATCTAGCGGAGAAGACAAACGAGCTCTTATTCTGTACCTGCGCCCGAGCCTCCTCTCCCATTTTAATTCAAACATCTCTTTTCCGGAGGGAGAGCTCCCTGCTTGTCTCACACCTTTTAATCAATTCTTTACCTTACATTACCTCAACAGACGCTATGGGCTGGGCGTCTCTTAAATACTAGTTACAGTTCCAAGCTCTAGGTTTACAGGAATAAAAAAATATAAACTCACGGAACTTACACTCTAATGTGAACAAAGAGACAAAAACTAAAATCAACAAAATAATGTTTGACAGTGATGAGGGATCAGAAGAGAGCAAACCAGGGAAAGAAGGACCTCAGATCGGAGTCGGAGCCTGTCAGACAGAGAGAGCAGTAAAACTAAGCCCTGAGATGGGAATGAGCCTGGGGTATGAGAGGTACAGAAAGAGAAGCCCATGTGGTGTGGTCAGGGGAAGGAAGGGGCCAAATCAAGTAAGACCATGGGAAGGAGTTGAATTTAATTCCAAGTGGTGGTCCCCCTAGCTTATTGTCACCCTCCTGCTCTTCAAACACTTCTGAGTCTTGACGGCCTCACTGTTTTGTACATGCTAATTTGGACGATCAGTAAGACTTTTCTCTTGTATCCTCCCCATTCTCATCATTGCATTTTATTATTTTTTCCATGGCACTTAATGTGTTTTAAATGAGATATTTATTGTTTCTTTACTCTCTCCCCACTAAACGCTGAAGATGCTTTCTTCACCTGTGAATGAATACCCAGTGTCTAGCACCGTGTCTGTCCCAAGTGGTCACTCAATAAATTGTTGACTTAATGAAGATGAGAGTTTGTCAGCATCTAAATAGTTCACGGTGTCCTACATTGTTTCGTACATTTGGCTTTTAAAACTAAATTCCTAGTCTTATCAACTGGATTTTAAACAGAACTGGGGTGAGGATATGACTAGGAGACCCAGAAGGGTGGGGCAATGGGCAGAGACTGCATTTCATGTTTGCATTAATGAATACCTATTACATGCGCTGTCCACGGTGCTACACACGTAATCCTTACCAAAGCCCTGTTGGACATTTTTATTTTATACACGAGTGAACACAAAGAGATTTGCTTCAGTAATACACCGAGTGCTGACCCTAAAGCCCATGCCGGTACCGTTTAGAAAAATTAGATTTGGGGACAGTCATTTACCAAGTCATTTGACTCTGTCATTAGCGATTTCAGCTACTGCCTTTAATGATTCTAGCTGGGGATGGTGTATAACATAATTCCAGCTACTCAGGAGGCTAAGGTAGGAGGATCACAAGTTCAAGGCCTGCTCAGGCAACTTAGTGAAACCTGTCATAAAATAAAAAAAAAGAACTGAGAATGTAGCTCAGCACTCCCTGGGTTCAATCCCCAGTACTGCAAAATAAATAAATAAATAAATAAGCAAATAAATTGGAATTCAATCACATTTCCATTCCTGCATAGAATCTGAACAAAGGTCCTGATTGAAAACCACTGCCATTCTTTAAAGCAGAGTCCATTTCACCATTTTCCTTTTAATATTTTTTCAGATTTTGTATTTCCTTTTTTGTATTTCAGAATAGAAAAAGAATACCTGCAAAATAGATACCTATCCTAAATAGTAGCTGCATCCTTTGGTTAGGCTTCTTTACTGTGTTTGACCAGCTTTTCCTTCTAGTCTCCCAGTTAATTCCTTAAGAATTCCCCTGGCAGAGTTACAGGCTTGCTACAACCATCTCTTCTTCCACTGACTTCTCAAAATAATACACCATCATTTTACCCTCAACAGGTTAGTTGCCTGAAGATGGCTGGGGAGATATGCTAGCTAGAAAGGATGGCTCTACTGTCTTATTGGAGGAGCCATTCAATCCTCATATGAGATGAGAAATAACACTAAATTCATAATGACATATACTTATCAACCAAAAACAATCAGTCCATATGCAAACTAAGTAGTAGGTGAGACTATATATTTGACAAGGCTCACCCCTACTTTCTATCTATCTCACCTGTAGTATAATCCTTGAACTAATTACAGAAAATAGGACAATGTTTTCTGTTTCTGCTGTATTCTGTAATGTTTACCATCTCCTATGAGTTAAATGATGTCTCCCAAAAGTCGTATGTTGACATCCCAACCTGTAGCACCAATAATGTGACCTCAAGTGAAAATGGGGTCTGTTGTTGATATAATTAAGTTAAAATGATGTCACAATGCAGTGGATGAGGTAACCCAATAAGGTTGTTGTCCATATAAAAAGATGACCATGTGATAACAGATGGAGGAACCACGGCGGGAGGACAGAGGCAGCGATTAGAGGTGTGCATTTACTGACCAAGACATGCCAGATATTTCCAGCAAGTCAGCAGAAGCTGGGAAAAGGCAAGCAAGGCTTTGTCTACAAGTTTCAGACAAAACATGGCCTGCTGATACCATAGGCTTCAGAACCATAAGTCAATACATTTCTGTTGTTTTAAGTCGCTCAATCTGTGGTACTTTAGTCCTAGGAAATTAATGTACCATCTTATGTATGTGGCAGGACTTGCAGTACAGAGAAGAGATGGGACAGGCACTGAAGAACCCTGGACTACTTCCCCAACTTGGCAGCAGACCAGCTGCAAAACCTCAGGTCAGTCACCAAACAATAGTTTCTTCATCTATATAAACAAAGATAATGGTAGCTGCCCTGCCTACCTTCGAGACCTGTAATGATAACTAACAACTATTTGTCCAGGGATGTGACCAAAAGACAGGGTTACTGCCACAGGGAATTTTACAGAAGACAAGCACTTTACTGGGATAAGATAGCTAGCAGAGTGCCAAGTGTGTGGTGTGGATCTTATTCTCTGTTGATGCTGAAAGAAAGAAGGATCCCGTGGAGAGGGAGACTCCATGGAAGGCCTAACAGAGAAGGAATTTACTAGAAGGACTTTGGGCACCTCCAGGACCTCCAGGAGAATACTTAATGTCATGCCCATAACTGGCCCCAAGAAGCCACCCCTGTAGCCTCTGCTGGTCATAGAAACCAGAACGGGGACTGCCTATTCTGCTTGACCAGACAGATACTGGATGATATCACTGCTGCCCCTGAAAACTACATAGTGTTGCGATCACTGTCACCACTTTCAACACAATGGGAATCCACTTCATCCTCACAGTATCAGCTTTCAACCTCCAGTCTGGACCTGGGGCAAATAATGGACTCAAAACAGTAATACAGCGATACTCTAGCTGCATGCTGGCAAATGGAAATAGAAGGCAAGCCACACATATAATTTTAAATTTTTAGTCTCTACATTAAGGAAGGTTTTCTTCAAAATAGGTGAAATGACAATATATCTGAAATATTATCATTTTAACGTGGGCAGCAGCCAAAAATTCAAGCCTTTATAGTGGTGTGTGGCCAGAGGTTACTATGTTTAGTAATCTTCAATTAACCAAGAAGCCAGGAAACATTGTATGGGCTGGGCCAGGTACAGTATATGGACATTCAGTTTCATAATGACATAAACTCATCAACTAAAAACAGTCCATACGCAAACTAAGTAGTGAGAGGTGGGTTCCTATGAGAAGGGTAATTTCCTAGGCTTAGAAAGAGGATTCTGATGTAGCTTTGCAAATGGAAGAGAAAATTGAAAGAAAACTAAGACTGGATTGTAGAGGATGGAAAATGATAAACTAAGAATTTTTAATCATTAATTTTATCTTGTAGTGATGGGGTGACCTGAAGGTTTGTGAATTGAAAAGGTACTTTGAAAATTAAGGAAAGAATCATGCAAGCCAGGTGTGGTGGCACAGGCCTGTAATTCCAGTGCTCCAGGAAGCTTAGGTAGGAGGATTGCCAAGTTTGAGTCCAGTTTAGACACTTTAGTCACTTATCAAGGACTGCAGATGTAACTTAGTATAAAGGCAGGCCTTGATTCAATCCACAGTAGTGTACACACACACACACACACACACACACACACACACATAAAATCATGCAGGCAAAATAAATTAAAGAACACTTGAATGGAATTAGAAGTCCTGAGCATTAGGACTGAGCTTTATGTCTCCCATCTGTCCAGCCTCAGGCCAGTTGCCCCTCTGGATCTCTCTTTACCTTCATAAATAGGACTAATACCTATTTCAGGCTTCTTAGAAGGATTATGTGAAATAGTACATGTGAAAATGTCTAGTACCAAGTACAAAATATTATTCAAGATTATTCAAGATTCTCCAGAGAAACAGTATATTTATAATACATGAAGATTTATTATAGAAATTGGCCTTCTGGAAGCCACCAAGCTTCATGATTTATTATAGAAATTGGCTTTATGAAAGGCAAGCCCATGATTTTCTATCTGCAATTGAAGAACTAGGAAAGCCAGTAGTGTAACTCAGTGCAAGTTCCAAAGCCAAAAGTTGAGAATTGAGGGGGAAGGTAGTGGTGGTTAAGTCTTGCACTGAGTCTGAAAGCCTAAGGAACCAGAAGTGTATATGTCCAAGGGTGGGAGAAGCTGCTTATCCACACTGGTGATTGTAATCTTCACTCAGTCTAGCTCAGTGCCCTGGGCCTTCACTGGGGCAGACCAGTGAGGACTGCCCAGGCGCATGGGTGCCTCTGCAGCATCCCCGCGTGCTCACCCCATGCTCTTGGGCTTCCTGGTTGTGCTGGTACCTGGATCCACACTGCAGAGGAACAGGTGGTCATAAAGGCCATTATACCCATTATACTGAGCTCCAGAAGATAGAATGGAAGGGAGCAACTGCAATACAGGCACATCGACCTCCGTAGTTGGTAAGTTGGAGAGATCACCACCTTCCATCAGAACTTGGACTATGTTTGGGGGAAGGGCAGCTGGAACCTGCAGGAGAACTTTGCAGAGTTCAACCCTGCAGGAGGTCAGGGAGCTCAACTGGGGCCTTGCAGCCGAATTCAGCCTGAATCTCAGGGGTCTGCCGTTGGCTAGCTGAGACTAATTGACTTAGTTCTGCACATTGCTGCCCACATTGTCTATTGTGACATCAGATATATACCCTGAAAGAGGCTCTTCAAATTTTTTCTTTTCCTCTTATTTTTAATTTTAATTTTTAGCATTTTATTTTTCCCATTCTTCAAATTCTCCTTTTTTCTTTCTTCTTTATCCCACTCTGTCTCTTGCCCCCCCCCCATTATTCTTCATCTCCCTTTTTGTTCCTCCTTCTGCCCTAATTCGGATTTCTTTTTTCTTTTTCTTCTCTCTTTTTCCTTCACTCGGTTGTCATTAGTTTCAAAGGAAAGCGAGTACAATTTACAACTTCCCTATTACTGTTAAGTTGTTCTATTCTTGTCTTTGTTCTTGTACTCTGTCTTTCCCTCTTGTCTTCAACAGTTTCCTAGAGTTTGCATGATCATCCTGTGTCCCCTGGCTTCGCTTGAAACCTTCTCCTATTCTTTTACCTATCTATTCCTCTCCTCCCAACTTCTTCTAAGTCCCCATTCTGAATGGTAAAGTTGCTATATTGAAGAGTTTATTCACTATAAACATATTTTGGGCTGGTCTTCAATTTTGATTTAATTCACATGGTTAAAGGTGATAGATTAATAACTTAGAAATTGTCAATTTCTAAACTGTGTTTGATGCTATTGTGTTTTTGATTGTATCAGTAAATGCCCATACTAGGAAAACCAAGTGAACTCAAATAAACAACCTAATGCTTAACCTTAAGCTCCTAGAAAAAAAGAAGAGGAAGATAAACCCAAAGCTCATACAAGGGAGGAAAGATTACAGCAGAAATCAATGCAGTGGAAACTAAGAGAACAATACCAAAAAAAAAAAAAAAAAATCAATGAATCAGAGTTGGTTTTTTGAAAGAATAAAAAAAATCAATAAGCCCTTAACCAGCCTTATATATAAAAAAGAAAAGGCTCAAATCCATGCAATTAGGAATGAAAAGGTGAAGACACAACAGATCCTGCAGAAATCCAGAGGATTGTCAATGCCTACTTTTAGAACTCTAAAGTAAAATAAATAAGACACACATGTATAAGTACCAAATAGTTTCTCCGGTGTGAAAAACTAGAAGTGTAAATAAGATCCAAACTGTGTAACTGATAATGTGAAATAGAAAGAAAAGGGTAATGGTGTAGGGGAAGTAGGAAGGGTAGGGGAAAGGAAATAATGGAAAATAAAAAAATATGAGAAAAGGAAAAAGTGGAAACAAAGTCTCTGTAAATAGGGGAGGGTGGAGGTGGTGAAGAGAGGGCAGGGGTATGGGGAAAAAATGAGACCTAAGATCTGTCATGTAAAGGTACAAGATCCTAATAATGAATGTAACTGTACTGTATACCTAAAAATTACCAATAAACTCAATGAAAAAAATCTTCATTCAGTCTATCAATTCAATGCTAATCTCTTCTAAAGACACCCCTCAGACACACTCAGAAATAATGTTTTACCAGCAATCATAGCATCCCTTATCCTAGTCAAGTTGATACATAAAATTAACCATCACACCTGCAAGCAAGCACTCAATACATGTTACTTAAATTTGAATGAATATGAGTATCTGGTTAGAGTTCTAGATAAATGGCAGAGTTTGGACTATTTCCCAAAAGCCAAGTGAAACTATAGGGCAAAAACTGGGAAAATGTATATTCCAGATACATCTATTGTACCCTCAGGTTGGACAAGCTAAAATATACACTTGTTTCCCAAGGAGGTGGTTTCTTATTTGAAGTCTTTCTGGTCACGCTTGGCTAGAGGTCATGTCTCTTTTCATAGCCTATCACTCTCCTTGAGGTAATAGTATATTGTTGTTTGTTGGGCTCATGCCTTGTCTTCTTCACTAGATACATAAGTGAGGCCATAGACCATACTCATCCACCTTTGTGCGTGTTACAATGTCCTGAACTGAGAGCATCCAAACACAGAGATCAGTGAAACTTAATAATTTAACTGGATGATGAATACATAAGTGTTCTTTTATTATTCTTATTTTTGTATGCATTTATAAAATCTTTAAAAAGACATCCAAGAAATTTCTTCTTTAAAATAATATTCAGTTTCCTTCTTTCTCATTAAAGTGTCAGCAGTGGGCCTTACTTTTTGGTAAAACCAATCAATGTTGAGGGTCAATGACCATCACTCGTATGGGACCCTTCTAAGGTCCTGTAGGATGCTTTAGCTATCTGTTCATTAATTTTTGCGACAGCTACAGAAATAACGTACCTCAGTTACAACTGGCTGAGGCATTATCTCTTTCTACTCTGACTTGCCCTCTGTCTTGGTTCTCTTTGTGTCGGGTGGTATTAGAATGCTGATTAGAGTGTGATTTTGGAATCTAGCTAAGGTGAAGTTGAGTTTGTAAGTCCATTTGTTTGAATTTCGTTAGAGGTTATTTATGTGAGTCACAGATACTTCTCTATGTAGTGACTTGTTAACCATCGAGGTGGAAGAATATCTGCCAGGAATACTTCACAGCAGCCCACTGTGCAACTCTTCCCAGCATTATAACACAAAGGTGTGGGGCCAAAGGCTGTAGTACTATGTGAACATAAAACTATGGCCCCTTTACCAGTAGTATGTGTAGAGCCAGAAGCTGATCTCCAGAAAATTATTTCAAATTTTATAGTTTTTAAGGAAAATAAACCTGGTAGAAATTTCC